TCACTTCCGCCTTTCCAGTCTCGAGGGGAAGCATCCAAGGGAGGGAATTCTGAGGGACGGAGTTCAGCCTAGCCATGGGTATTCACCCGATGACAAGGACAGGATGGTTTCCAGTGGCGCTGTTTGTAACAGCTTTACATTGGGAATAAGCTTAATGTGTCTCAACAGTTAAGCAGATGAATAAACTGTTAGGATGAGGATTATAAATGAACAAACGATTGCTCCATGCATCGACATGGATGAGTCTTGCAAAAAATGTTGAGCAAAAGAAGACACACAAAAGAATACAAACTATGATTGCATTTATATATATTTTAAAAACAGCAAAGCTAATGTATGGTGTCAGAAATCAGGATAGTCTGATTACCTTCGAGAGAGGGTTAATGACTTGGAGGGGGCACAAGAGAGGCTTATAAGGTTCAGATAAGGTTCTGCATCTTGGTCTGGATGCTGGTTACACAGGTATGTGCCCATTGGGAAAACTCATTGAGTTGTGTAGTTACGATTTATGTACTTTTCTGTACTTTAGTAAAAAGTTTAGGTAAATTAAAGTTTTAACGAATTACCGAGTAATCATGGATAGACTAGGTTGGAGGAAAGAAACTAAGTTAGAGCTAGTTGAACCCAGTAGGGAGCAGCATCGGGGGCGGGGAGGGGGGGAGAAAGCCAGCAGATACTAGGAGAGGCAGATTAGGCAAGGACAGTCTACCTGGGGGCCATCGCAGCTGCATCCCAGGCTGTCCCTCTCCTCGGCCAGCCATCTGTTGCCATCACAAAGCGTCCGGACCATGTACACAGATACCCAAGCAGGCTCATTGGCAGAGTCACCTGCAGAGTACGAGGAGCAGTCCGTGACCCCGCGGTCAGGGGCTCCCCAGCGCAGGCAGAAAGAGCCAGACTGGAGATGGCAGACACTGATGGTCAGTGGGGAGGACAGAAGGTGAGGGAGCTTGGTGCTCTAAACTTGACCTTTATCCTCAAGTTCACCCCTCTTCCAGGGCGCTACCTGCTTTTTCTTTAACCCTTGAAAACAACATTTTTCTAGCTTTTCTCTTTCATAAAGTCTTAATTCCCTCTTTTTTATGCTTTCTGTTTTAACTCATTGACTAGTTGGTCAGATTCATGATTCTTCTCTTGAAAATAAATTACTCGAAAGTGTCTTAGGCTGTTGAATACAGGACAGGGTCATCCCCTACGTCCGCCGGTCCAGAGACTGGATTGCATGGAGGTAGACTAGGTGTGCAGCACCTCTGACTCCCCGCTTACCTGAAAGCATTGTTGCCTGTGATTGTTGGTGTTTCTAATGCCTAGGAAATTAGGGCTTGGAGTGCTGATGAGGCGTTTGCTCTGAAATGAAATCTCACAAGTAGCTTAGTACTTTATTTTGAAATCTTCTGAATATGCATGAAAATAGGGAATATTCTACTGTGTTCTCTCTAGCCTCTAGGTAACACTGCTGTTGCGCAATTCTCTGATTCCCTCAGTCTGATAGATGCTTGTCTCTGCTACGTTCTGAAGCCCCACGTCATAGCATTGACCCCCCCAGAACTGTAGCCACTGGTCTCCTTGTCTGTCTCTTTGTTTACCTCTGGACTCTAATCTGTCTGCCGTCAGAGACTCTTTCTTATCTGACTTTGTAGCTTCAACATCTAGCCCAGTAGAAACTCAGTAATTAATGATGAATGAACGAGCCCCCCGAATTCCGGAAGCGAAGAACCTTGGAGATGGGCCTCGTCTGGGGAGAGAGGAGAAAGAGTGGAGCCCTTTGGAGTAACCCAGGAACTCAGCCAGCATGTGGGTGATGGATGAGGTGTGCGCTCAAGCACCCTGGTGTTTGAGTCAGTAGTACATTTCTGGAGAAGCCACGTGTGCTGAGCCCTGCACTAATAAGCCCTCTTCTTTGAACGATTTTGTTTCTTTTAACTTGTGGCCTCCCTTCCCCACAGGAAACATGGTAGAATGGTGTTTACCTCAAGATATTGATCTCGAAGGCGTTGAGTTCAAGTCTATGGCCAGTGGGTCCCATAAAATCCAGTCCGATTTCATGTAAGTACTTGTGAATATATGTCTTCTCTGTACCATTTTCTCTCCACCCTATGCTTTCCCCAGGGCATAAGCACTCGTATCAGGGGTTCTTTAGGGTGTGTATGTAAATGCCCTGAAAATATATGCATAGTTTTGTGTATATCAACTTTCCAGCAAGAAGGTCCCTAGCTCTCATTAGGTTCTCAATGGGTTTTCTGACTCAAAAAGGTTAAGAATTCTACCGTAGAGGGTTCTTTCCCTTTCTAAGATATTATTGGACCTCACTAGATGTTTGGCTTTAAAGAAAGAATGGAGTCTTGGTTGAGTTTTGGTTAACTCGAGACACTTATGTGCGAAAACTTGAAATCCCAGCTTTACGTAAGGCCAGTTTATAGTCCTGCGTCATTAAGATTCTTGCGAGGGGGCAAATGGAAAGAACGGAGGATAATGAAGTAGCTTTAATCTTCTCACTGGGCTGAAACCATGACTGACAGCAGTCTGAGAAAGGGGAAGGAAATGGACCGATAGGTCTGGTCATATGCGCTATTAAAAACATTAGAGACGCAGGAAGTGGGGTAAGAATCAACGTGGTTTATGCTAATAAAACAGTTCACCGGTTCTAGACAAGCCTGAGGATGAGCCTTTGTTCTAGTCCTCCCATCAAGGCCTTAGCAGGACAGGAGGAGGGATGTATTCACAGCCACGGGCAACCGAGCAGCAGGCTTGCCGGAGATGGAGTCCAGGCTCCAGCCGGATGACCCTGGGCGAGTTCCATGATTTCTTTGAGCCTTGGTTGTCTCATTCGTGAGGCTGAGCAGCTTAGCTAATTGTTCTCCTAAGATTCTAAAGAAGTGGTTCTTTAGGCCGAGCTTTCTCGGATGGTTACTTCTCTTCTTGGAGATTGCAACTCCAAGGAAAAGGCAAAAGCAAAACGAAACGTCTCGCCCCGATTCTGAGCCCCACTGCGTGTCTGGCCTGTTGCAGCTACTTCCGGAAGGGGCCCTTCTTCGGCCTGGCCTGCTTCGCCAACATGCCGGTGGAGAGCGAGCTGGAGCGCGGCGCCCGCATGAAGTCGGTGGGCGTCCTCTCTCCGTCCTACACCCTGCTTTACCGGTACATGCACTTCCTGGAGAACCAAGTTCGGTACGTGGCCTGCGTGCTGGTGCGGGTGGCGGCGGGCAGCGGGGACCTGCCGGCCAGTGCGTTTTTGACAAGCCGTGGGAAAGAAAGGGTGGGTGCCAAACCGACAGATGCCCTTCCAAGAACGGCCGTGGCCATGTGTCCTCTGCCCCAGGTGGCGGGCAGTCTTCTCGTCTCCACCAGCGTCCTGCATGATAATTCTTCACACTACTATGAAAGCTGGGGTAGATTGTGCTTTCAGTTTGCATTAATACTGTCATCACTCTGGTTCAAATAATTTGTTGTCGCGTACATGGTTTTTGTTACTTTAAGCCATGACAGTTGCCTCCCTGCCCCAGGTAGGCAAACAGACTCAATTTTTTTTGAAGCCTAATAATCATTTCTTATTTAGGGTAATTTTTATTATTTGGGGTAATAGGAAGGGAATTTTTATCAGAATCAGCAAAGCATTCTTTTTCATTATGCAAGTAATGTAATTTCATTTCAGATTGTGAAGGAGAAATCTATCCCTAACCCTTAAGCCACTGTTAAAATTTTAGCACATTTGCCTCTTTTCTGGTATGTTTGTGTATGTGTACTTTAAAAAATATATGCAGAGTATCACCTGCACTTTTTAAATTATAATTTTGATTTTTTTTATGTAACATCTCGATCATTACCTTTGAAAGAACATGAAATTTATCGTTCGTAGGAAAAAACATGTTTATTATTTTAAAATTTACAGACGAGTACCAACGAATTTAAAAACATGTTTAGTATTTTAAAATTTACAGACAAGTACCAACGAATTTTTTAAATCCTCCCAAATCTTAATACTCAGAAAGAGATCCATTGTCAATAATCAATGAATGCCATTCTAAAACAGAAATAATTTGACAAAAACAGGATTACTATTTTATGAAGATTTAATTTTATTAAATAGCAGCCTGTCTTAATGAAGAACATTTAATTTTACTTGTGTATATCAGGAAGAGAGTAAATGAAACTGAAGAAATTGTCAGACTTGAAGGGGATTTTTTTTTTCCACAGTAAGATATTATTTCTTGAACTATTCCTCCAACAGTAAGAAAAATGATAAAAAATATGATATGGTGTCATTCTTATTTTTACCGAGAAGTAACACATATGCAGTAAGATGCACAAACCTTTGTAGAGGTGTCGCTGGTGTTTTTGAATTGCGTTTCAGCTGTTGACAGCCTATCATACTTCTCTCTTCTGTTTCGCATCTCAACTTTGATGTATTGCAAGATCTATTACATATAGTTCTGTAATCATAATTCCTGCAATTAAGTCTTAGTGATATATTTACAACCACTTCCGGGACTCAGCGTGGCTTGCTCCACTCCTGAGTTCCTGACATGATTTTTTTCTTGGTTGGTTGGATTTTGTCATCAAGCACTTTTTTTTTTTTTCCACGAAAGAGTCGACCCTATTGGTCCGTGACCTTTATTCTTGGCAGGTTATAAGATTCTTGAGTATTTCTTTCTACCTGCCAGGATGCTGTGGATATTACTGTCCTGTCTTCTGATATTAGTTGTTTGGGAGAAGGTGTTTCTGTCTAGACATCTATAGATTCTATCTTTATCTGTGATGTCTCTGAAAAATTTTTTGGTGGGGATAGTTGGTCCCCTTCGATCTATAGCTGTGTCTTTTATTTTAGGAACCTTTCCTTCTCTAATAAAAATTTCAACTTTTCCATTCCATTTTTTTTCCTGCAGGAGTAACCAGCTTTGTATATGTTTTCTCCACATTTATCATTTTGATGATTACCATAATAGTTCTATAATGCTAGAGCTGTCCCATAAGCTTACTTGATTATTCCCTGTGGTTGAGCATTTAGCATGTTTCTAAATCTTTTTCATTCCTCCTCTACCTTTTGGAGCTCTGGTGAACACCTTCATGCATATATCTTTTTTTTTTTTTTGGTATTTGAAAAATTTCCTCAATTTTGCATCTCAGAAGTAATATCATGGAGGGAAAAATAACATTTTTATTGGGATCCTGATACTTTTTAAAGTGATTATTTATTTTGAAAATAACTTCTCAAAAGCCAAAAATTATAAGGAGATATATATTAGCATCCTGGCTAACTGGTGATAACAGACACCAAGATACAGTGGCTCAGAGAAGACAGAGATTCTTCCTCTATCATGGAACAGTCTAGAAGGAGGCAGGTGGGCAGGTTGGGCAGCCCGCTGTTCTGTACAGTTGTTCAGGGACCACACCGCTCCCCTCTCGGTATCCCGCCGAGTCCCGAGAGTGTTTTTCTGTATTCTGTGGTGTCCAAAGCTGCCCACCGCTGTGCCCGCATGCTGGCCCCCAGGGAGGAGGGACAGACCTGGGACTTGTCCACGTCACTTCTCACACCCCACTGTCATGCTCTCAGTGACAAAGGCACCCCTCACAGCACAGGAGACTGGAAAAGGCAGTCTCTAGGTGGGCAACCTGGTGACCAGTTAAAGAGCTCTGGGGCTTCTATGTGCCGTTCCCACCATGCAGGGCGGACATCTTTCCCAGCCCAAGAGAGACGTTGGAGAGGCTCATTCAGCGAATGCCTCCT